TAACAAATAAAAGAAGGCCTGATTAAACTGAATGTGAACAGAATGAATTTTTATCAAATCCAAATGTGGACTTGCATGTGTCTCTGAGGAGGTCTTTTCTTGTTTTATAGTTCATTCGCCTGTTGTTCTGTGAAGCACAGGAAAATTTGTATTCCGTGTTGGGTGTTCGGGGTTAGAGACCAGTTTTCCCAAAGTGCTCTACAGACCGAGTGCTTTGTGAGCCAATATTAATGGGTAAGCTGGTGCACAGGACCACAGTCAGTGGTGTTTTCCACAAAAAATTGAATGTACCATACAGCCCGCAAAAGGATTGAGGTAACTAGGGGTTAGTTTTTTCTCCCACATTATTTCTTGTTTGTATTTTGAATCCTATATCAGACTGGCTATGCCAGTGCATAACAGCAGTTGCCAGGAAGATGGGTCAAGCAGTTCTGCTTTACAGTAACTGCTGTTGCCCTTTGCAATGGAAACAGCGAGCATTTGCTTTTGCAAACAGTTTTCTGGAATGGGAGGCATAAGAGAAGTTCTCACATTATTTGTACACTGGCTGCTCTTGATACTGTGGGTGCAGAAAGAGCTTTGTGGGTGAAATAAGTTATAATGGCAAAACCCACAAAGGAATAGAGATGGATTATGTGTGTGCTAGGGACTGAGATCTTGAAAAGCAGTGATTCAAGGGAAGAACTTGAAGAGGGATGGTGATGCATCAGCTGAGCATGAGCTCCAGATGCATGGGAGTATATTTAGAAAGGGTTATTAGATCTGAGCAGCTCACAAGTGTGGAAAATAGTGTTTCCTCTGTATTTGGTGTTGTGAACTGAATTAGTATCAGGATCCTGCTGCCATTAGCTGATGAAACATTGTAATGATAAAATGGGATACGGAGTGCTTAATGCCCTCCTTTATGATAAAACTTGGAGTTGTGTGTGTATTTATACTTGAGGAAAAAAGGAGGATGGAAGGCTGGCAATCACAGGCCATGTCTGATAATTTGATTTTCATTGTAGCAAAAGAAGATTCAGTGGCTGAAAGAGCCAGGCAAAGTCATGCTAAAGTGATGCATATTTTTAAATGGGAGCATTTGTCAAGGACCATTCTAAATTCTCTGTTTTTAGAAACTTTTAAATTGAGATTGGTTCTTACAGTAGTATTAGTGCACGCTGAGAGCTAATTTGGAGAAGTCTGACAATCAAGCTGGACCTTCTGCTTTGCAGAAGGTTACACCAGAAAGTCTAACTTTAAGGTGCTACCTGCTGAGAAACATCTATCTGGATTTCTGCTTTTGGGGTGTTTTTCCAAAAATTCCTGTTCCAAATTGGAGTGATGATGCTGTGAAACTTGTTGACAAAGCTGATTGCAATTCTTCCTGTGTTGTTCATGTCCCCTCTTTAGGAGGAAGTGAGAGACTTAACCAGTAATAACCAGCTTGTAAAGCAAGTACTGTTCATACAGAAAATTATTTTAAAAGAGCCCTATTTTGGTAAATTGTTTTTGCTGGTAATTCCAGCTTGTCTTTCACGAGGAGGCTGTTGTGAGTCTAAGGTATTCAGGTCTTCAGAGGCAGGCAGGAATCAAAACCGAAGGACTGTCTTCTGCTGGAATGAGAAGCACCTTTTTCTTCAGATAGATCCTGTTTCAGATTTTTTTTTAAGCCTGGCTGACTGTATATATGCTTTTTCTTCAGGCAATGAAACTTTCAAAACACTTATCTGAGCCCTTTTCCGTATTTCTTTTCTCTCCATCTCTCTCATATATATGCAGGTGTATTTTTCCTACTGAAAGTATGTTCTAGTTGAGTCAGAATACATTCCCTTTCAGGCTTACTAGTAACTGTATTATCTTTTAGTATCTCTTATGGTTTAATGCTGATTTGCAACTGGTGCCCCAGCAATCAGTCTTCTGCTCCTTGAAACTATATATTTTGTCTTGCGCTTTTCAGTTAAGCTTTGCTGTAAACAGTGGTGTCATTATTGAAGTCTGGGAAGAAAAGTGTTTCTTGCAGTGCAGCTTTTCTTTAGGTGTGCTTCTTTCATTAGTTTGCAGTAACTAATGCAGTTGAGGTTTGGAAGGGGGTTAATTAATCCCCTGGGATGATGGGGGCTTGCTATTCTGGAATCTTTTAATGAAAGCTTTCCTCGTCTTAATTTCTACTTGCATACGTCGGGTTAATAAACTTGAGAGAAACTACAGGGAATGCAGGCTGAGAGCTCCTAGCAGATCTGTCAGCTGTGGGGTTGCACAGTCTTTGTGAAGTGCCTCTGTGGTAAGTGGTGTCCACTAATGTGCTTGATTTTGGCTTCTCTGGAAAGGGACTGGCCCTTCCAGCCCAGGTGCATGACTGGTGAGTGCTTCTTGCCTTCAGCTCTGTTCTTCAGAGCTACCGCTCATCCTTCACCTGGAATAAATGTCCTTGCTAAAGAATGTACAGTTTTCTCGACTCAAATTATCTAGTGCTGACTTAGGCAATTGATAGCATCCTGCAGTGCAGGCAACTGCTGGCAAAGGACTTCACCCCCAGGCACTGAAGTGATGCCCACATTTGAAAGCTGAAGCACGAACTGCCAGGTGACAGTGCTAGGATTCTCTGTTGGAATGTCTAACAAATATGTATACAGAAAGATGGTTACTAGAGAAATTTTGCTGCTTTCAACTTTTCTTCTTCCCCAGCCAAGACACTTGAGTTGGAACTATTACAAAACATTTAAAATTTAAGTATAAGCGTATATATTTATAGAAGCTTATGTGTTTATAATAGGTATCAGAATAAGTCAGAGAATATCTGTTTGGTGAGAACAGTGTCAATACTTAAATGCAATTTATAGATTATTTTGAGATTTTTCATCATTTGAGAAGTTCTGAAAAGTATTTTAAAAAGCTCATCCAGTCATGGAGAGCGAATCTGTACTACTTGTAGGTAAAATCCCCTTCTCTGCAGTCTAGCATTGTTAACTTTTGCTGTCGACTTCTCGTGGTGGGGGGTATGACATTTTAGATGAAAGCTATGAATTGAAGTTGCACTGGGCTCTTATTCTAGTACCTTTGATCTTTTATTAATTTTAACTTTGACCTATGTTTGCAAGCACATGCTTTAAAGACACATTTACTGGATACTTGCTTTGGTGCTTCCGAGTGTAGGGCCGTTTGTACTTGCATGTTGACTCTTATCTAGTTATGGGCGCTTCATCTGCGTCGAGTATGATCCTGTGCTTTGTCTTTCATAGAGTGGGAAACTATGTGGGGTGGTTTGTTTTCATTGTTTTCTTTTCCTTCCTCTGTCTGTTTTTTCTCATAGTGAAGTGCATTTTGGTCCTTGAGCAATGAAACGTTCTACCTCCAAAGCAGCAGGGAGTCATCCTCTCTTCTACTTACCTCTGCTCCTGTCCCCTTCCTTTTTTTCTGTAGCGTATTCCTTTGAGAAAGAAAACTGAACAAAAATATTGATTGCAATGAAATGCACATTTTTTTCATTTAAAAGACTGCTACTGAAAGTCCGACTTTTAATCCTTATTTTCAGAACTGCTTATTGCTATAGAGAAGCTTTTAACCTTTTTTTTCCCTTGTATTCTACTTTAATGGGGTCTCTTTTGCTCTGGATTTTTTATTTCCTTAAGTCACAATAAAATTCACTTAGTTTTGATTTAATTACTCTGACTGTAGATTTTGAAGCAGGAGAAAACTATTAGACTTTTCGATTTATACTTTGCACTGTGGTAACAAGCAGAGTAAAACAAACTTCTGTATACTTAAGATTGCATTTTTTTGGACAATCTAAATCGTATTCTGTGTAGAAAATTCTCATGATTGTCACTTATAAATAATATTTTTGTGGATCAGCTTTGATTAGTAGGTCTTTTCATTTGAACTTGTATACAAAGTCATTATGCAAGGTACCAGCCACTACTGCTTTGTGCACTAACAGAATGTGACCAGCAGAAATGTGTGAAACTTGTTACATGAGCTGTGGCTATTTGGTAGAAAAAAATTGCATCACTTGTATGGAAAAGTACGCTTACTGGTGCAGGGCTTGTATGGCTTAGAAGCCAGGCTTAATCCAAGTAGGCGTGATTTAAAAATAGATCAGTGTGTTGTCTAGATATATTTACTTTGAATAATTGCCTTGTTCTTTTTAGCTCAGCAGTTGTGTTTTTTTTGTATCTAGTGCCTCTTCATGTGCAGTCACTCGATTCTCGGGTTGCCCTGAGGTGCCAGTTCTTAATCCTGAGAGGTGCTAAAGCAGTTGAGCCAGGCTTTACTGCTTCCTAATTTACTGGTCTGCCCATGTCCGAAAGGAGGTAGCACTTTGTATTCTGCCTCTCAATAAAGTGGCAGGTTTGGCTGTGTCTGAGCTTTGACCTTAGGCTCTATCTCTTGTCCAGGCCTGGTTTTTGGGGAACACTGGTGCTAGATTTGGGAGCAGCTCTTCAGGTAACTTGATGAGTAATAGCACTAATAGTACCTGCAGGTGCTAGGCAGCTTTGAGGATTGTGCTCTTGTAAATCAGGCTGTGCTTTACTGGGTGAATACTCTTTTGTATATTTTACAGAAATATCATATTGTTAGTAGTTTGAAAGATGTTAAAAGACTTGAATGAAGAAAGGGTTATAAATAATGATCAAGTTTAGAAATCGGAAACACCTGAGAAATAAATGCTTTTTGGTTTGGCTCTAGAATTTATATTGTCTTCTTGGCACTACTGCTCTTCATATACAGCTGTTTCATCATGACCCTCTCTTAAAAGACATTTTTCTTTGCAGATTAAGTTTGCTGTCTTATTTTTCATTTTCAATACAAAGACCTGAGGGGATTGTACTTAACTATCAAATAATAGTTGAGCATAATTTGGCACAGTATCCCCATTTCCTATGGATTTTTACACTTAATAATATACACTTATACATCCTGTGTGTATAAGCACTGCTTAATGTTCGTAAGCTTTAGAAAAAGTTTTGTAAAACCTGTTCTTATTTGATCTAGATTCAGAATATAATGCATTCTCTTTGATCTTGATTCCTTTCAGACTATGAGAAGACAAAGAAATGAAGTGGTTGTGGAGTTGAGAAAGGTAAGGTGAACTGGTATTATTCTTAGCAAATGGGAGTTGGCTGTATTTCAGTAAGAGCTGGTATTTAAAGCTTAAAAATGCTGTTGTGTGTTCTGCAGGCGACTGAGAACACTGCTGCTGAGCACTTCTGTTTTACAAGTTCTGTGTAGGTGCTTTTGATTTAGAAGGAACTTTTAAATTTACCATATGTGCAACTGCAAACTTCATATTAATATAATTTATTTTAATGGAGAATTACAGTTTTGTTTGTAATTCAGCAAGGGGAATAATTTTGACTTCTCCAGATAGGCTCTTAAGCCTTAAAAAACATTTCTCGCCCTGCTCCCCCCGTCCTTGAAAATGAGTAATTCCTGGTAAGATAGAGAGGCAGAAGGATATTCTTGCCCAAAGCAGCAGTTTGAAACAGAGATGCAAGTAAAGTAGTGGAGGGGGTATGTGTGAAGATAAAACTGCTTAAAATGGTCAAAACTCTAGCTCTTGAGAAATCCTATCTCGATGTTCTGGGATGAGAAGAAAACTAGATTCTGGGAATTGCCTTGTCTTGTTTATAAAGTCTGTCAAGTAGGTTGTAAGTGTCAATGCTGATGAGTTTGAGCGTGTGAAACCTCTAGAAATACAGATGTTGCTGTGAATGAAATTGGATGGAAGCCTTTTTTCTAGAAAGAGATTTCGCTTCCCTCTGCTTTTCTTTCTAACTTCTTGAATGCTGGAACTTTGTGTTGATGAAAGCATGTGTGTGATACTGTCTTAAAAGAGAAGCTTTTCTTCTATCCCTGCTCTACCCATTCAGTGTTTTTAAGACATTAAATCATTTTTTTTCTTTAAGAACAAAAGAGATGAGCATCTTCTAAAGAGGAGGAATGTACCCCAAGAAGATATCTGTGAAGATTCTGATATAGATGGTGACTTTAGAGTGGTAAGAACCAACTCATTTTTTTTTGGTAGTAATTCAGAAGACTCTTCAAACTTTTAACTTTTTTTTTAATCTATTTTGTAGCAAAATACTTCCTTGGAGGCAATAGTACAGGTAAAAATTCTTAATTGTGTTTGAACTTCATTATAACCTGGTGATAAATATGTGAAAAGTCTAACTTCTCTTTTGTTTCAGAATGCTTCAAGTGACAACCAGGGTATACAGCTAAGTGCTGTGCAGGCTGCAAGGTAAGACTTTTTTTTTCTTCTAGTTTAGCTAAATTTAGAAATAGGATGTCATTTATTTATTTATTTTTTTAAGCTTCAAAAAAATCCTCAGTAAAGAAGGCTATAAAAGATCCGAGCGCCTGAGTATTCAAAGTGGTCACAATTTCATTAGGTGCAAAGAAATACTAGCTAAATAATAACACGATGCTCCTTGCAAGTGGAGCGTACTATGTAATTAGCAGAATTATAAACAATATTTAATCTGAAATACAGAAACAAGTTACTATAAAAATCTCTTGCGTATTTTTCATTGACTAAGCCTGTAAGAGCTCCTCTCATTTTAAGGGGAACTGCATAATTGTTAAATATATAGTTATATATCTGAGTACAATTCCAAAAATACTGTTAATTTCTTTGCGTTTGCATAATTTGACAGTTGTGCTGTTGTTTCATGAGCTGCTGCTCTTTTTTCTTGCTGCAGCTGGGTGCTACAACTTTGTTTCCCTCTGAGGAGAAAGGGGTGTTTCAAGTGTAAGAGAAAACTTCTAGCTCAGAAGTCAAATGAATAGGAAGTTCCTTGTGGAGGTTACTGTACTTGAATGTGATAAATGCTAAAGCCGTTTTCATGCCTTTTCATCAGGGGACTTTGCCTTCAAAATAAAAATGCATCAGCTCAAAATAGTGTCACTTAAAAAACCCTTTTTTATAGTTGATATAAGCTAATTTGAAGTGCCCTGAATTAAGTCTGGAAATATCCACATGGGTGTTTTACTGGTTTAAATACTTTTTCAATTGAAAATAAAAGTTAAACCAGTGCGATTTGTCATTGGCAAAGTCTAAGAGCCTCAAATATTTTTTACACAGGAGAATGCTTGTAGTTTGATGCTAATTACTCCGTGTCTTTGTTTGGTCTGATGCTGGAATGAGAAGGAAAAATCTTGCCCAAACTGAACCCCAAAGCATACAAATTGAGCAGTACTTAAACCAAGACACACAAAAACATCTTGTCTTCTTAATTCTTGTAAACTTATAGGTAGAAGTCATCACTTCTAGAAGTAATCTGCTTTGCCGAGTTGGAAGGTTAAAATGCACATCTTGGCGGTTGTTATGACAGGCTTATTATTTGTGAATAAATTGGAATATGAAGAGATGACCAGAAAGTTTCTGTTTTCGCTACCTGTAAAAGTTTTAGGAAGAAGCTCAAGTGGCCTCTTGGGAACGTTTCTTCATCCTCTTTAAATTCCTCCCCTGCAGGAAGGTGAAGCTAAAGGGATCAGCAGTTAGGATAAATCTGGACACTTCTGTACTTCACAGCAGCGCTTTGTGAACCCCTGGCCTCTCAGTTTATCCTCAGGAGAGAAGAAACAACCTTCTGACAGTCTTGTCAGAGCAGCCAGGGGCTGCTTATCTGCCCCATTGGGTGGAGGAGGAAGAGGCTGCAGGAGGGTGTAACTAAATAATTTCAGTAGCCTCTGACTGACTGGTGATACTCTTCCAAAATAGAGACTATATGGTAACTATGGTACACAAACTGCAGATTTTTCAGTAGTTTAGTGGTTTCTATCATGGTGCTTTAGTTATTTCTCACTGACGTTGAGAAAATAAAGCCTAGTTGGTCTTTGAGAGTATGAGATTTGACAGCTTAAAAAAGAAAAAAACTACCGGGGGAAGCACAGCTCTAGAACATGTTTCCTTATGGAAACTTATGGAATTTCCACACTTGGGGGTTTTAAAAACCCAGCTAATGAAGCCATGACTGACCTGATCTAGTGTGAGCAGTAATTCAAGCATGAGGCTGGACTAGATGACTTCCAGGGAGCCTTTCCAATCATCATGCTTCATACTGTGTTTTCCTGGTAAGTCTTACATTTTCTTTTTTTTGTTTCTAAACAGAAAACTGCTTTCCAGTGATCGCAATCCACCCATCGATGATTTAATAAAATCAGGAATATTACCTATTTTAGTGCACTGTCTTGAAAGAGATGACAAGTAAGTACTCCTATAACTAAAATTGTTTAACTATTGCAGGAATTTTCAGTATTCAGTTAAAATGCCTATGGATTTTGAATGAAAAGTCATGTTACAACATTTTTTTTTTCTTATTTTGTAGTCCTTCTTTACAATTTGAAGCTGCGTGGGCTTTGACAAACATTGCATCTGGAACCTCTGAACAAACACAGGCTGTAGTTCAATCTAGTAAGTCAAATAGTGTTTTTGATGTTTGATAAAATGGGCACTGTAGCTTCCACAAAAATAAGAAGATCTGAATGATACTGTAAAGGGCATCTACACTCCTGTTCTGTCTCAAGCATGTTCACCAATCCCCATGATAGGGTTGGTCCTTTCATGCGATAGCCAGGATGGTTGAAATTGAGTTGTCAATCACAGGCACGTCGCTGAAGGACCTGCCCATGAAGTCTCCTGCCAGAAGTTCTACCTCTTCTCTGGCAAGCAGCATCACTTGAAGCGTACACCTGCTTTTGTTCTTCATTTTCTCAGATTTTAAATTCAGTTGGGTTTCCTGATGGTGAGTAATCTCTTCTGGGAACTCACTGTTTTAGCAGAGATGATATCTGCTGGTTTCCAATTTTCGATTTTTTTTAAAACCTCCCATGGAGAAATTTCCTGCCTAACTGTGAAGAGGGAGGAAAAGGTGTGGACCAAGTTCAGAGAGTGCCTCTTGTCAGACTTGCTTCCAAAATAACGTTGAAGATACAATGCTGCGCTTCGTGCTTTGTGGATTCTGAAGTTTGGGAAGGAATGGTACTTGGAATCTGAACTGCCAAGCAAAACAATTGTCTGTGCTTGAAACATGCCCTGAGCTGAAGTAGTGCTTCTGTTGGTCAAGCAGAGCTAAATAGAAGTGTCAGCCATTTCTTTGAACTTGGTAAATTAAACAGCCGACCTTCTGACCCATAGTAGAATCAAGCAAATATTAAAACAAGTTTTCCTTAAAACTTGAGGAAAAACAAAATCCACAAAACTTCCATTAAGTGAGATAGCAGCTTTAAGACTTGGACTCAGTGTTGTACTGCAGCTTGAACTGCTGGTTCCATTGGATGTGCTCTGTGTTTCCAACAATGAAAAGGCACGGAATTATACTCTGTATTTTTGTAGGTTCTCCATCCATGATCATGTATTGGATTTTTTTATACTGCACGGAACTTGCATAATAGTGCTTCTAAAACGTACTGTGCGATGCCTGTTTGCATCTTGTTTTCTTTTGAAAAATCTAGTTCTTTTATAAGCTGTGCTACATGTGGCTTGATTTAGGTTTAAAGAGTTAGCAAAAAAAAATTACAGCTTATTGATGGATTGAAGCTGAGCACTTATTAGAGCAGTTTATTTTGGTGATGATTTCTGATGTAGCCAGGCCTGCATGGGTGCTCTATATTAGCCAATTTAATAGTTGCAACCTATAGAAATGTGGTTTGTTTCTTGCAATGATTTCTTTAAATGAAAAAGAATAGTCAATCATCTTTCTGAAAATATTAATATAGTTGTTGGGAATGTTTCCCAGGCAGTGCATAGAGGCATTGCAAGTACCGTTGCTTAAGAAAAAATAAGGAATCTATGGTAATTGGTAACCTGATAGCGCAAAAAAAAAAAAAAAA